GGAGCATGGCCCAGCAGGACTCAACACTGGTAGAACAAGGTTTATGAGGCTATGTCCTTACAGACTTTTCACAATGCCCTGAAGGCCATCACTCCTGGCTGCAGAGCACTTCCTTATTTTCCTGCCATCCAGAGGCACTTCCCACCCTCTGGGCCCTGGCACCTCCTCCAATCCACTCAGCTTGTCTGGAAAGAGTAGGGCCTGGGAAATGCCACACTTTAGGGAAGTCCATTCAAGTAGCACACACTCTGTGCCTCAGGGACCACCCTGCTGTCCTACGTTTGTTGGGATGAAAGAAGGGGAGCCCCTTAAAGGATGAAAGCAGGAGCTTAAGGAAGAGAAACTGGAGTGTTCAGAAATGGGGGAGGGAAGAGTGGATTCCTATTCTTCCATGTAGGAAGTCAATTCAAGAATGAATTACTCCCATGGACATTTGCAGCAACCTCCTAAGGGCTACCAAATTTTAGCTCTCAGCGTATGTGAGTTCATGGCATTGGAGGAAGACAGACCTGAGCTTTCATCCCAGGGCCTCTGGGAATAACTGACATCTGTCATGTTATTCTCCCAAGCTCCTGCTGTGAGTCCCATAATGCCCAGCTCTGCCGATGAGAAGTCCCTGCTCACACAGCTGTACTGGACATCAGGGCACACCGCTGGGAGCCACACCCAGAGCTCCTCCTTCCCCACTCACTTCCCAGCCTCTGCATGTGAGTCAGGAGGGAGGTCAGGTGCTCTCCAGGGGATCCCAGAGGGTTCACAGCAGAAGGGTCCAGAGGACAAGACAATGATCTCTGAAGTCCCCACATTACATTTCTATGGTCAAAACAGCAGAGGGAAATCCACTGCATTTGAAGAAGAAATAAAGAAGCAAGACAAGCACTAGCTTGTCTCTGTGATTCATCAAAGTTTCTTCCATGTGAGTGACAGAAAAAGGGTTTGGTGGTCAGAAATGTAGCAAGGTAATTATTTTTACACCAGTCCTTCTGCAGTTTTTCACAGACAGCAATTTTATAAGGCATAATTATCTATTTTTACCTGCTTCATAAATTCCTCCTTTCCATTTCGTCCCCCAGTAAATTAGAAATTATTTAAAACCAAAGATGTGCATTTTGGTGCTTGGTTTCACACTGCTGTGCACTTTCCCGTGCATTCCTGGCTTCTCCCCCTCTCTGCTGACGATGTCACATCTGCTGTGCCACCAGACCGTCCTGTGAAAAGAAGTGTGTCTGACCCTGAGGACTCAGTGGGCCCTGCACCCTGAAGACTGAAGGCAGTCTTGTTGGCCACCTCTCCTGCCCAGCTCTTCAGCCCTCTGGGGAGCACCTGGAGTCTGGGATGCTCAGTCTGTACCTCCCTCCTTCTCCCACAGTGCATTTGTTCCAAGTGGCCATAACCTCACTTGCCTTCATCAGCACCTTCAGGCCAAGTGGTCTGGGGCCACAGAGTGGGTTCTGCTGTGATGCCTAGAGGCTGCGTCAACCTGGACTCTCCCTGGGAACATCACTTTTATTTTTAGAACTCTACCAAGCTGGAAGCTTCCATATCTGCTGTAATCTTCACACTTTCCAGGGATGTAAGCAAAGCATGTTCTAACATCGATTGAGAGTTTACTATGAACCAGGCATTGTGCCAAAGACTATAAAACTATTTTGCTTAATCCTGGCAGAGGTGTGAGGATGATGAAGGAAGAAGGGAGGTGGGTGTCCACAGAGCAGCAACAGTAACATCATCACACTCGGGCCCAGGGCCCAGGGGGCCCCTTCCTTGGACTTCGTGCAAAGCTCACGCCAGCCCCTGTGGCACTGGCTTGGGGTGTACCCAAATCCCTGCTAAGTCTAACCTTGTCAAAAACAATGCTGAACACACAGGACCGCCAGGGACTCTCAGATGTCAAGAAGGGCCTAGGCTTTCCCAGGAGAATAAAAAGAAAATGAAGAAATGCCCACACAAGGCTACAAAAGTTATCATGCACTCTAAATGTTTAATTTAGAATAAATTAACACTTTTAACACTAGAAAACTACTATGAATACATATCTGCTGGTCCCAGGAGACCAACAGGATTCATTAAAAATACACATTTTAATGCACTATAGGTATTTTAGCTTTGTAAAAGAACACATTTTAAATCATAAGATTTTTTTAAGTATTTCAATGTTATCAGTAAATGAGTGTGACTGATGAAGGACTCTCCTTTAAAGATGATGGCAAAGGCCAACCCTGAGGCTTTTCCAGACTTTGAGCCCTGGGCTCTTGGACACACTCAACCTTATCCCTATATCCCAACACCACTTACGCCCTATAGATACCCACTGAGGGACAGAGCTCCCCCTTACCTGGGTCCTCACCGGGTCCCGGTGGTACCTGGGTCCTCACCGGGTCCCGGTGGGTCATAACTCTTTCCTGACTGGATGGATGGAGAACTACATGTGCAAAAGTAAACCAGCACCTGCATCTCCCCACCCCACCTCTCCCAGGCTGGGCCTATGCCTGGCTATCTTGCTCCACTTGCAGAACCAGTCAGGGCCCCCAAGGCTATAGGGCAAGGCCATGCCTGGCCTCAATGGTTCCAGATATGCTCCTTGTATTTGAAAAATTATTTACTGTGGTGACGCGTGATGCCTTTTTAAGAGAACAGATGGCACCTCCAATTAGAATGCTTTAAAAGGAAACCCTAATGAGATTATAAAAGCCAACAAATTGACTTTTTCATACAGTACTTCCCTGGCACACAATAAATCAAATATATAATGAGGCTCAATAAAATAAAAGGTTTATTTACGTTTGTTTTGCCTAGTATTGTGTTGCAGCCTGGCCTGGCCTCTGGCTCTCTCACCAAGTGTTTGCCTCCACAGGCCAGGACCAGGGACTGGATAATGCATCCATGAGCTGCTCAGGGGCCTGACTACTACAGACAAATGTGGCCTTGATTTGGCAATTTCTGGTCTGACCCTAGTGCTCTACATCTGGAGGCACGAGAGCACAGAACCATGTAAAAGAATGTGGTGACACACACGGGCAAGTCTAGCATTCACCCCCGCTCTGGATAAGGCAGGGAGATTGTGGTGGGGCCACACGGGGTGAGGAAGGTGTGCCTATCCCCAGAGCTAGCTGGACCAGAGATGGGAGAGAAAAGCCAGTGAGGTGTGATTTTTTAACGAGGTGAACTCAGGACATGGGTAAGCAGAGTGGAGGGTCCACAGTGGGCAGACTGAAAGCTTTGGGACATTGCTATTTATTCCAGGAATTGGTCCTACTGGTTCAAGCACATCAGGTTAGGTGGTTGGAAGAAAAGCTTTGAGAGGTGGACAAGGGAGGTGCTGTACAGCAAGGAGGACAGCCCCACGCCGGCATCCTGAGCATCTGGTTAATGACCTACCATCTGTGTAGGTGACCTTATCCAGGGGCTGGATGGATTTACAGGGTATGTCTGCTGAAGTGGGAAGCTGGAGGCCCAGATTTCTGTTTGCATGAGTTGATCTGCAGAGGGAGCCTGGCCAGAGAGAGTTCATGGCAGAAGTAAACGGGAATGTTTTTAGGAGGGGAGCGGTGAGACCCTGGCTTATGCATCGGCACTTATGGAGACTAGTCCTTGGGATGAACATCCAGGTAGCAGTGGTTCAGCTTCTAAAGCAGTACGTTAAACAATGCTTCACATGCTCACAGAGACCCACAGGGGAACCTCAGAAATCAGTAGGGATGATACCACCAGAGGAAGACAAGGACTCCAGTCAGCAGAAATGGAATAATTCCTGTTCATGTCAAGCACTAGCGAGGGAGGTCTGGGGAAATTCAGTTTGCAAGAGGATGAGCTTTTCCTCAGTTCAAATCTATAAGCATTGATCGACCTCAGAACCTTGATCTAGAAGACACTTTCATTTCTTTCCCCAGCGAAGATTACACACACTGCAAGGCTAGAATTAAGAAAGTCTTCTATACAGACCTGAGTCATTTGTCCTATGCATCAAACTGCAGGTATATATGAAACATTCCCTCTGTGCCCTTCTACCTGGGGATCAGAGGAAGGGATTTGGTTCAAAGAGGTGAAGGGAAGTCGAGGGAGTCAGACAACATCATCTAATACAGAAGAAAGTAGTGGCATAACTAGGGGCAAGCCTGGAACACTGACTTCCAAGTATGAGGAGAATACTGAAAACAAAAAAATCATGTCTGTTTCAGGGCTACAACACATAGGAGAGTGGGAGCAAGTGCTTTAAAGCGCTGTGTGCTTCTTGTCTCCCCAGGATTATGGAGGAGAATATTGAGACACCCTGGGAGTGGAGTTGCCACTCATCCACTTTTGGCAAGATGACTGTCCTTCCCTCTACAACAGAGAATGGGAGAGCGGTGAAGCCCAAGCATTAGCCCCAGCTCACAGAGTCTCTGCCTCAGAGACCCATGCTGCAGCCCGGCCTCTGGTCTTATCATTTGGCAGGGATACACAGATGCTGTACCATACTGGGCACTGGAAGGGACACAGGGAGATGAATATCTGGTCCTGGCACACATAGACCTTTCTTTGGTAACTGAGAAGGCATATTACAAAAGAAATGGGCAACTAATAAAATTATTAGACTTTGAGAGGAACCTAGTCACAGAGATACAGGAAGTACAGTGAAGACAGAGAATATTCTCAGCTGTCAGGACCAACGGGCCTTCTTGGAGAAGGGGACTAGGGATTATTGCAGTCGAGTAATGGATCCTGATTTTGCACTCAAGAACTCTTGAGGCTGGGATTTTTAACATCTGGTGGAAAGAAGCTGCCTTGCTTTGGTGGGAGGAAGACTCTCCCATTTGGGAGAAAGGTAAGAAAGAACACAATAATCTCAACCTTGTGCTATTAAGCAGAGGGTGTCTGCATGCCCAGCACAGGAGCTGTCCACTTCAGCACCTCAAGGAGCATTTCTGCTTCGCTCTTAGTTTCCCCTGCCCCAGACCAGGCACTTGCACTGTTAGGGAGCCAAACTCAACAACAGCGCAGAGTTCCTACTAGACACTTACTAGTACATGCCACTTCTGGGGGATCAAAATCCGCTCGGTAATAGCCGGTCCGACAGGTACAGATGGGAGACGCCTCTGAAGGGGATCGGCTGTTGGAGGGGCAGTGGGAGCACCCCTCAGCTTCCTGGCTGGCCTTGAACATCCCGGCAGGGCAGGCTGGAAAACAAAGAGATCATCTGAGAATTAATCGAAGAGTGTCAGTCAGACCCTGGAGGTGGAAAATCAAAGATTCTGCCCCCCCAGAAAAGGACACTGAGATACCTCTCTTTGCACAAAGTGAGCTTTTCAGATTGAGGAACTCCTTATTTAACACTTCCAATTCTTCAAACATCCTTAGTGAAATATACCTTCCTGGTACCAATGACTTCTTTCACTTGAACAATATGAATAATGATGCTTCCCTTTCAGGTGTGTCGAGAGATTTAATTGAGAAAATGAATCTAATGTGTAGCTCACTGTCTGAGACATAAGTGCTTTATAAATGGTTATTCCCTCCCTCTTCCACCTGGTTAACAGCCAGGGCCTTACCCTGAACCACTCATTGAAAAAAATCTCACCTGATATCCTCAGATGGAAAGGGTTCCTGGTTTACAATGGGCTGGACCCATAGTTCTTAAATGTCATGTTGCAATACACATGAGGGACACTGGAAGCTGTGTTAACAAGCATTTGTTATGAATGATAGTAAAGAACTGAAATTCATGAGTGATTCTTTACAAAGAAATTAAAGTGATTTCAAGGTTACTGGCTTAACAACATCACTCTCCCTTAATTGCATTTTGAAATGCTTGGGGGTGCGACAAAAAGAAAAAAAAAGGGTTTTCAGTCAGTGCACCAGAGAATATGTCACACAGTTAGTGTCATCTATCATGTACATTGCAGTGCAAAAGGTCTGGAATGCCTGGTACAGCACAATGTCCACCAGAGGTACCCTCATATATGAAGCATTTTTTTTCTCAGTTCTTTGTGTGGTCTGGCTGTGAGAAGCCATGCCCCAAAAAGTCTGTCTCCAGGCCATCCCTAAGGCCTTCAACATGCCTCATCTACAGAGACTCTCTACTCCAGACATCTGGTCTCCTCCTTTGCAGATTCCTCAAAAGACTGCCTCTGCTTGCCCTACTTCCCTTAGGCTCTTCCTCACCATCACAGCTCCAGACTCTTCTTGTCCCTGGGAAACTTGCTTTGACTCACCCTCCTTTGTGACAGACTAAAACTTACTGCATGGTCAACTTATTTGACTTCCTCACTTACTCATTCAACGAACATTTATTGCAACTCTTCTGAGAAACTGATTCAGGGAATTTAGAGAATAGAGCCTGCCCTCAAGCAGCTCTTGATCTAGTGTAGTCATACAATTATAATACAACGTGATTGTCACTGTAACAGAAGTACCATTATAATGGCTTCTACTTACACAAAGCTCATCTTATCTAATATATTGTTCCCTTCAGAAAGTACAGAGTATTCTTTAATAACAGCAGTAGTCACCATCTGTTAAACATTCTTGTTAAGTGCCTTGCACGCATTACTCTATAGGGTAGCTATTATTATCTCTATTTTGCTAATGAGAAAATTGGGACACAGAGAGGTTAAAAAAGTTGCCCAGAACTACACAGTGGGAGAAATGATAGTGATGATATACGTATAAACTAATTGAAAAATATTCACAGCTTTTCTACTAAGAGAAGAAGAAAGAACTACTTCCTATGCTGGGAAAGTTTTTGCACTCCTTTGCTCTCCTGAAGTGAAGTACAGAGTTTCAGTTATTCTGGAAATGCTCTGGGGCAGGAGCTTATCTCTGATGAGAGATAATTTCTGAAATGGAATCCTCTGGAAAGGCAGTGCCCAAGAGTATTCCACAGAGTCCATGTTCTTTGGGTTGTTAACACCTGTTACTTACAAAAACGTTCTGTGGCTAGATATTTTTAAAATGTGCATTGAAAAAGCTAATCTCATTTTTTATTACAGAATTTCTCAGAACTTCCAAAAAGTGAATACAGGATGCTCTTTTCTCACCAAGAAGCCCTATTCTGTGGAGCATCCCTTGAGATTTAAGTTTCATGAAACACACTAGCATAAATGTTGTCTAGATCCAATAAGATTTCTGGTTGTAACCCACGTGAAAATGGGCCGCTTGCCTACCCACCTCAGCACATTAGAAAGAAAACTTCTCAGTAGAAAGAAAAAATTACATTTTTACTGAAGTTTCAACAAATAAAATATCGGTGTGTCCCTAAGTGGCAAACCTAAAGTATCCTATAATGTGGTTTACTGATCTATCTTTCCAAGTTCACTCAGTAAAGCCTCTCCCCCTTTCTTTTCTCTTCTTCCCTTTCTTCTTTCTACATCTCTTGCTTGTCTCCTCTGAGAAGCATTTGATCCTTTCCATTGTAAATCATCCAGTATTGTTGGGCCATTCAGTTCTGGAGCTGAAGAACAGAAAGAAATCCCAGGCCTGTGCTATCCAAACAGGCAGAAGCCCTTTCCCTGGAAACTGGGGGAGGGGAGACTGTGAATTGAATGTATTCATGGGTCCCCTGCTACACTGTAATTTTCTTAATGTTCCAAGAGGAACAAGGTGTTTTCACTTTCTTTCTAGCCTTTAAAAGCCTACTCATTTTGCATTTAATAAGTTAACAGCATAAACAATCATTCTGATATCCACAAGTAGCAGAGGGTTTAGAAAGCGCCTTCCTCTAAGATTTCTGATGGAAGAAACTAAGACAGAACTGGGTGCCTGAAGTCTCTAGATACCAGGAAGGCCACAGAGGGAGGAAATGGAGGAAAGCAGGTTTAAGCTGAACTTTAGGGAGAGAAGCTCAGAGAAAGGCTGGGGAGAGAGGTCTTGGGAGGGGTGGTGACTCCATCCTTTCCAGGATAGTGAACACTCTGTGATCAGACAGTCCTGGGTCCTATTCCTGGCTCTCGGTTCCTAGCTGGGTGACCACTGGAGAGTTATGGAATGCCTCAGAGCCTCAACCTGCTCGTCTGTATTAAGGATCTATAAAAAAGAAACATACACTTCTCACACCTCCCACAGATCATTAGAATTTAATAAACTCAAATATGACTAAATAATGCTGATTTCTTTCTACTACTACTTACCCACTCCCTGTTAAAAAAGAAGTTTTCTTTGCAGGAACTTTTAGAATTCAGGATCAGAATATAAGTTTGGAGTCCCAAAGCAGGCAAATCGATCTTGGAACCCAAGTGACGAACGTGCTTCTGCACATTTTATTTCTGATTTGTGTAAGAGTGAATCATTACATCTGAAAATATGTTTACATGTAATTATAAAATGAATGAATCTCCTTAATATTCAGATTCCATAAGTTAACATTTTAATAAAACCTGTGTCTAGGCATCCCCTAATTTATAAAGAAGCAACATTTCTAGATTCAGTTATTAAGGTTTTAGATCGTAACTTGTAAGCATACTTGAGCTATATTTTCTCAAAGAATTAATGCTTTAAATAATGGTTAAAGTGCTGGGCTAGTCTACAAAGCCTTTTTAACTCATCTTGTATCAGACACCACTAGTAAGAAACAGAAGTTAACAACATTGTTATTTTACTAAAAATTTAATGTAGAAAAATAAATAAGAAAATAATGCTGCCCCTTGAGAAAATGCAGCTTTAATTAGAGGTGATACATGGAGCTTCTGGGTAGATTCTAACAAAGAGTATTTAGGCCAAGGGAAGCAAAAGCAAGCAGTCTCAGCCCAAATTAAGTCACCTGAATATGTAAAGCAGGTGGGAGTAACATAGTGAAGAATGGTGGGGACTTGGGCAGCCTGCTGACAGCATACCTGCCTATATGCTCTCCGGTTTTACACAACTAATAATTAAATACTGTGATAAACTAACCAAGCACATATCCACACTTTCAAGTAATTTGTATGTAGATAGCACAGTTCTTTGCTTTAATAACCAACTCAGGGTTGCCTTTCTCTTGATATAAAAGTATGGTCAGCACAATGACTACAGTTATGAGTCCCTCATTCAATAAATGTTTACAGAAGAGCTGCCTGGTGCTAGAGATCTTTTGCCAGAAGGACAGAGCAGAGTGCAGGAGGTGGGGGGAGGGGGGCAGGCGTTGGGAAGCACCCTTCCAGGTGAGGGAGGGAGACAATGGAAATGAAACCTGATTCCCATATGGGATGACTTGTGTGATATTTGTGTGCACAGGCTGAGGGGACTGGTCAGGTGGGATGTGCCTCAGGATGAAGGTCTGTCGTTATGAGATGAGGACCAGAGGGAACATATTCTTGTGACAAGGAGGAGGCAAATTTCGGGAGAAGCAAAGACAAAGCAAGAAGGGAAGAGCTGGAAGAACGGGAGAGGTAGGAAGGGAAATATAGGTCAGAGAGTACCCAGCCCTTATCTCAGCCAGAAGGGGCTCATTACTATTCCAGGAGGTGGGTGGGAAGAGAAGAGCCGCATGTACCTGGCTGTATACTGGCACAAGACCTTTGTTAGTAAGACACCTGTAAGTAGAAGAGCTGTATGGTTCTGATGCCAGCACAGCCCAGATTGCTTTGTTTCCTTAAGAAAAAGGGTTTTGTTTCCTTCTATTGCAAGTGATCACAGTTCAGACAGGTGATAAGTAGAGCTTCCCGGTGGCACCTCCCCACCCCCAACTCTGGCAGAGATGAAGAGACAAGACCTAAGTACCAGGTCCCTAAGCATGAGTGTATTTGCCATTCCCTAGGCAAAACACACAGTGTTTCACTCCTTTTTCAAGTGACAAGGGACTGGTACACACAACCTGTAGCTGATATCTGAAGGTCACCTTGAAATGCCCACCCAACTTCTCAGAGCCTCAACCATGTAACAAATTACCTGGTGCTTACAATGCTCTCGAGAACCCTCCTCCCCTCCCGTCCCTGCACACAGACTTCCAGTGACACTAAATCCATCACCTACAGTACTATTACTTTATAAAGAAACAGATTAAGTGTCTCATAAACAGTGCAGTGATTGAGATAATGGAAAGCGCCTCTCGTCCCCATCTGCAGCATCAGGTTATGAAGCATTTCCAAGCAGCCAGGAAAAGGAAATTAATAGAAGCAAGAGGGAATAACCACTTTTATGCAATTTCCTCAGGAGATAGTGGACCATCTAATCTTTATTGGAGCCCTTTAACCTGTCACTCAGCACTCACCATAGCCTCTTTAGCTCTCATGATTTTTTCTGATAGCCAAGGAAGATAATATGAAAACCTCAAAACATTATTTTATAATTTTCGTACACGGAGGGTACACATTGCCTCTGCCCCTCCCCCATCCACTGAAGCTGCAAAAAACAACATTTTTATGCAGTAGAAATGTGGG